ACCTCTTAAAAAAACCCAGCATGAAATCCCACAATGGTATCAGGACTTACTTAAATATATATATTTATACATAACATATAACATGAATATATATATATATATATATATATATATATATATACTTATATAAATGTATGTCTTTAGAGTGAAATCAAGTGCGATCAAAGTTAAATAATACTACATGGTTATTGGTCTATTTTTAAGGACTCAAAAATAGACAAAATATGTAATCTAATGTCATTTTGAACCCTGCAGCACCAAAATCAGTTACTAATTGGTCATTCAGTGAATGTAAGAGATGTGAAAGAGGCTTTATTGTAGAGAAGATAATATCATTTGGCTGAGAGGATGAGGAAGCTAAAGTCACTTTTATTCCTGTCTTACAGTTATAAGAAGTGTGTCGATGCAGTACACATTGTCCAAAACTCTTCCATCCTGAAACCTTCACCAGATCTTTACCAGTCAGAAGAATTAATGCTGAAGTGGCATGAAACACACTTGAGAATTCAGTCATTACAGTGAGAAATAAATGTAGAAATGGATAAAGAAGTTAAATAGTCTTTGATGAAATGTTTAAACATAAGGCTAGATAAACTAATTTGGTTAGAATATATAATATAATTTTATAATTTAAAAAAATGTATATATAAATTAATATATAATTAATAGCGCAACTATAACGACATGTGAATAATCCCGCCCACTCTAAAGCGGTACTGAACTGCAGTGGAAAAGCCGAGCCGAGCCGTACCACGCAGTGGAAAAGCGCCATTAGTGTCCAGCAAATATAAAGACTTGCCAGGCCAGTCTTTCTCCAGTCTTTTTTTTTTTCTAAATCATCACATGCTCTTGTGTCAACATCCTGTTTAAGTAATTAGGTACGAGAAAGGGTGCTAAAGAACTAAAGGGTGTTGTCGAGCTCGCCGCCTATTCATAATACAGAACACTCTACTGGCCTTATAAAACAGTTACTACATATTAAAAATATGAAGCACCCATATTAAAATTAAAATGTTATCCCTAAAAAAACGTGTATAAAACTTCAGACGTTTCTGTTTTCAAACTGCTTTTTTAGCACTACTAAAAGGTGTAAAAGATGTGCTTTGAACACACACACACACACACACACACTGAAACGCACAAGTATAGTATAGTATAGACCTTTACAGATTGCTGAATTAATTAATGCTAAAGTGGCAGGAAACACACTTGAGAATTCAGTCATTACAGTGAGAAATAAATAAAACTGTAGAAATGAGGAAAAAAAGTCAAATAGTCTTTGATGAAATGTTTAAACATAAGGTTAGATAATACTAATTTGGTTAGTTTTTAAAGTTCTTAAAAAATTAAGGCTTTAAATTAATTTAAGTTTGGTTTTTAGTAAGTTTAAAAAGGATAAAATGTACAATATAATGTTCACTAATTATACTGTATATGGATAATGTAGTAATATCCCTATATTAGTGTGCAGCAAATATAAAGACTTGCCAGGCCAGACAGTCTTGCTCCAGTCTTTATTTGTCTTTTTTTTTTTTCAGGCATCACATGCTCGTGTCAGCATCCTGTTTTGTACCCGACAGTGGAAAAACCACCTTAGCTGTTTTACATCAAGGTTTAATTTAAGGTTTAAATGATGCACAGCAGTATTTTTAACAGCAAGTTATTTGAGCATCCTTTGTCATCTTTCACTCAGCTTGTTTGAATCCAACTTGCAATGAATGAGAAGTGCTGCTCAATGCAGCTTTTCTCCCCCTTATCATACTGTTCTTAGAGAGAAAATACTGCTTGAATTTACGCTGTCTAACGTTGTTTGCTGTAACATGAACTAATGTTTGTATAGTGGGCAGGTGTTGAACAGTTTGAACTTTTGAACAGTTTGAACTGAGTGAGCTTTCTCCCTAGAGGTGTTAATTAAAGAGTTTAATATATGTTGTCCAGCTAATCTGTAAAGGTCTATACTATACTATACTATACGATACCATACTATACTTGTGCTTTTCAGTGTGTGTGTGTGTGTTCAAAGCACATCTTTTGTGTTCAAAGCACACCTTTTAGTAGTGCTAAAAAGGCAGTTTGAAAACAGAAGTTTTTATACATGGTTTTTAAGGGATAACATTTTAATTTTAATGTGGGTGCTTCATATTTTTAATATGTAATAACTGTTTTATAAGGCCAGTAGAGTGTTCTGTATTATGAATAGGCGGCGAGCTCGACAACACCCTTTAGTTCTTCAGCACCCTTTCTCGTACCTAATTATTAAAACATGGATTTAAGATACATATGATGCAGACTACTTGAATGAAGTCTTTCTATTGCTAGGATATGAGCACTGGAAAGGGCAAGTGCTGACTGCAGATGAATTGCAAGTCCTGTACGAGGGGATCAAGCTTAACAACGTGAACCAATATGACTATGTGCTCACAGGTACTCTTATGTCAGCTGTTATTTAATTACTGATGTACATGATTCAATAACTGTCAGACATAACACAAGCCCAGATTGGTTTAAATAGGATTATGTATGTCCAAAGGTGACATGACTGTTTATAACTATAATTGCATTAGATATGATTATTTATAAAAGACCATTGATCTCTAAAACCCTGCCCTTCGAAGCTTTGTCCACTGCTTAGAATAATGGTCAGTTGATAGGGTCCAGATGTTTTCCATCATTCTTTCTTTCAGGGTACACTAGGGATGATTCATTTTTGGATATGGTGGTGGACATTGTACAGGAGCTGAAGAGGGCAAACCCGAACCTGGTGTATGGTATGTATATATTAAAGCAGTAACACTTTTCAATATTAAGGTATCATTTGTTACCATTAGTTAACATGAAAAACAATAAACAACTGTTTTTTTATTAACAAACAAAACAAAGATTAATAAATAAATATTTCCCATGTATTATTTCATGTTAGATAATGCATTGAATTTGTAGCTGATTTATGAAACTCGATGATGCAGGTCATTTTCATGCAGTCTGCTAGCTATCACATCATTCACTACATGGCACAAGTTGATTGGTTGGCTCTACAGCCAATGAAATTGCTTGTTCAACATTTAAATATTCTAGTTCTGTGTTTGCTGTAAGCTGGTTCCTCTGAAACCCTCCACTTCCCCCAGCTCCACCTATCTAGATCTTCTACTGGATTTATGTATGCCTATTATTCACACAGCAGCACCAGCATATCTCAGATGCTCACAGTGGTGTGTCAGTGTATATGGGCCATTCTTCAGAATCGGTCCAAAGTCAGAGTTAAAAACGTCTTGAAAAAAATGTATTTTTCCAAAAAATTTGTGAATGCAAATTGTATAATATCCAAGGTACACATTTCTAGTAATTGTGCAGTTAATTCTCATATTGTATTTTCAGAAAGTTTTGGAATATTTGTCCTCTCCCCAAATTTGTCACTACCGAAACAACAGTAATAATAATTTAATTAGAAGGGTTATATCGACCTATTAAGATTTTGCTTATATCTGCATTGTAAATATATATTTTTTGCTATTTTATTACATTTTTTCAGAGGTAAAGCAATAACATTACATTTTAACAATATTTCAAGTGTAATTTATTAGATTTGTTGTATTTGTAATCCAATTTTTCCTTGTAAAAGGCAAAAAGTTGATCATACTGATTTCAAAGTTAAGGATTCGTTAGTTTGAATATACATTGAACCAAAAACTATCATAACATCTTGGTTGATAATTCAGTATGCTTTATTTTTGACAAAACATCCCATGTTTTGGTAGTGACCATAATGCTTTGGTAGCGACCACATCACATTACAAAATTTTAACTTGCATACTAAAACACTACGAAAACATACTAAAATACTACAAATTTGCATAACTGTACTAAAATGTTGTTTATGTCCCCCAAATATGAGGATAATGTGTTCCATTTTGTCACTACCCAAACGATGACATGTTTCTGTCGTGACTGTTTCTATAGTGACAATTTTATGGGATAACACCCCCAAAAAAAAACTACCGAAACTCTACTAAATATTTCAGTAGTGAAAATTTTAGATACTTTTGAACCTATCTCAAAGATGCCAATCAGCACATGGTTAGCTAGCACAGTTCTGAACAGTTGTACACACGTAAAAATGAAATGACATGGAATAACTCCCAAAAAGTGTGCTTAATTGTAGAAAAAAAGGTGTTTGAATCAGCAGTGACGTTTCTTAGTTACACACAGATTTTTAAGACTTTTGAACACATTTACCTCAAAATGGTGGGGCCCATCTACTCACCCTGTAGCTATGAGAGAGAGTGACATAAATATTTCCTGATCATAAATGTAGGGGTGTAGTTAATTTCAGTCTCAGCCAATGGACTAAAACATGCACTGTTTTGGCAGTGACATGAAAACGTGGGACACCTTTTTTTTTTAAATAAAGTTTAATAATTTACAAAGAAAATATAAAATGTAGATTTGTTTTGAACTTCACGTTTTAAAAGAATCAAAAAGATATTTTTAAAAACAACAATAGAAAAAAAAATAAAAAAATTATTTCAATATAATTTTCATAAGTTGAAAACCTCCCAATTGAAAACACCCAATAAATGATGATTTTGTATATATTAAGTTTACTAATATTTTAAATATTATTGTGGGTTTCAATAGAGAATAGAAGGATTTGAATACTTAAATGCTTTTTAAATGTGTTTTTAGTTGTGGGACAGCAGTTTGGACCAATTCTGTAGAATGGCCCATATACTGACAGTAGCGCGTCCACACAGCGGGAGCAGCAG